CAGATTAATAATTATTTCCTTCAGAAATAATTATTTTTAAATCTAAATAACTGCCAGGAAAAACCAAACCACATATTCAAACGACAACATCATTACTGTGCTCTAGGCCACCCATGCCTTCCTAGCCAGATTTAAAATCCACCATGATTTTTTTAATTTTTTATTTTTATTTTTTTCACAATACATATATAGTGCATGAGCGGGGTGAAGAGATAATGTTTCTGAACACCCCCCCGATTACTTTTGATCCTTGATCGAAGTTCATTAATCAAAGTTAATTTGGCCTAAGGTTAAAAGTTTTAAATTGAAATAACTGCCACTGTAAACAAACAAACACACTGCTCTGAAGACGAAAGGCAGAAGACTTTTGAAACATCGTCCTCTACACTTGTATTTCTACAACAGGCAGTTGCCATTCATTATATAAAGTTTCATCATGAATACTCTGCCTAAACAATCTATCAAAGAGTAATAAAACCATTATATATAATATGAACCAACTAGTTTTATGAATCTTAAAAATAAATTACAAAATTTAAAACACATCAGGGCCCTTTGTTTGTTAATTTCAACAATCATTAATGAAAAAAACGACTGGTGTGGTATCCCTGGTATAACTTTATAGTTTACATTGAACTTTTAATTTGTAGCTCTGAAAAATGAAGAATTATTGTTACGAAAAATTTCTATTTAATGTATGGTTGGAGAAGTAACAAAATACCTGTAACTTTAGTTTTGGCTGTTTAAACTGTGGGGGCTTTCTTGTTACTAATAAAGTAATAGATATTCTTATATATAACATTCCTATTATTAAAATCTCAACCGATTTGTTTCCACATGTATCATGAAGTATATTCTCTATAGAAATAATTTCCATTATGCTTATAAATTGCTGTTACTGCCATTCTGTACACAACGTCACAAGCTATTTCTACTATCTAGTTGTAACAAAATATCTAACTAGAAGCTCGCTGTTGCACAGAGGCCTAAAATTTAAAAAATAACTCGAAAGAAAACAATGTATACAATACAAAAAAAATATATTCACCATATAAATAATCCCTAGCACAGACAATACGTAAATAGTTTTTTTGGTAAGATGGAAACAGATTTTATTCAGATACATACCTCATTCTTTCTGCTTCTTCTGACAACCACCATAAAAAGACTTCAAAACCCTTAGTAACACTAACACATAAATGTGATAACTAAGATATCTTCACTGCGCATGTTTTACTGTTACTCATCAGAGGGCACTAGCAATATTTATATTAAAATAATAAAGATAATTATAATAAGTGTTAACTGTATTTTTTCTTTTCCTCACTATAATGTGTAACTTCGTTGAAGAAAATGGAATGTAAACAATTTGCAGGATTTGATATATGTTCTTTACTTATCATTAATAACCTAAAATGCTTTGAGTATTCCCCAGTGGCGTAGCGCAGAATGTGTGGCCCCTCACGAATTTACCTATCTGGCCCCCTTCGTATCAAATATATTATAACGTCATGAGCCTCTATGTAGCGTGAGTCCCCCGCACCACTGAGTATGCGAAGGCAGTTGTTACGCCCCTGTTATTCAGTCACGACACAAGAACTAACTTTCATGAAAATGGAATCTCTTTAACACAGGAATAACATATTAAATAAAAACCGATAATAAAGGAACACTGCCCATTTTAAAAGGGAGTAGTCAAACAGAATAGGTATAAAACAACAATATAAAAGAAAACTCTTTAGTTACATTTATTAAATGAAATACATTATAAAATAAAAAGTTGATCAAACCCCTTTAACCAAATAAAAGAAAAACAACTTTGATAAAGTTTACTTAAAGAAACCACATACGTACAATAAACTAAATTTAGAAAATTGCAAAACAAAATAAAAATCTTCAACAAAGATAACCTACCCACTTTGGAATGGGATAACCTAACACACTGTTACGTCTCTGTTCGTTTGTTAATTTCCCGCAGATATTCTTCCCGAGAAACTTTAGCGATACAAGTCCTTTCTTAAATAAAACTAGTTTATTCTTTCTCAATACAACTTTGCAATACAGTAGAACCTCGTAGTACGAGTGCCTCATTATACGAGTAATTCGCTTTACGAGCAGTCATTGACAAGAATTTTTGACTCGTACAACGAGTAAAAATTCGTAGTACGAGCGATTGTCAGTTGCGGCGATGACTAAGGTAAAGAGAGGCTAACTGACGTCGTCAGTTTTAAGAAAAAACCCGGTCAAAATCAAGCTGGAGCACATAGGCTAGGCGTCTCGAGTATTCGTTCACTTTATTGGAGGAAATTATTCGAAGTACGTCTCAGATGACGTTACTACTAATACAATCGGCTGCCTCATTTTAGCTTAGTTGTTGATCGCCACCTCGCCCATTCACGTGCTCAATTTATCACTATCCTACCACTAAAAGCAGCCTGCGCTCACTCAATTCACAAGTTCATCTCGTAGCAGTAAGACCCCGAAC